CCATCGAGTAGTAGTCGCAGTTGATTGTAGGGGCATGTAGAGAAAGTCTAACCCTTTGTCTTGAATTTGCAGTGCACTGTCGAAAGCAACTTGAGCTGGAGTAGCCCACTTGGGTGGGGAGTCCAACTTGGCTCTGCAGTGTCGAATGAGTTGACGTATTAAGTTAACCAAAAGGAGTTCGACTGTATTGGCAACAGTATGAAGATTTAAGCCCCCAGCATCTAATGGAACTGAATGCCATTTGCTGGGAAATTGGCTTCGAGCTGTCGAACCCTGAGCTGACTGTGGTGGAGTGTTGTTAACAAAATTCTTCTTGAGAGGATCGAAATTTTTAATTCTTCTTTGGAGACCGCCTGAACACTCAGAAAATGCCACAAAATTGACTGTATCATTGTCTTTAGTAGTAAAACGCGGTCTTGTAGCGTACGGGCTCTCCAACGCCAGGCAACACAAAGTCGCTGAAAACGAAGAAGTGGTTGGTTTAACTGTAAGCTGGGTCGGCACTGAGAACCCACAAGTATACCTAAAAGTGTGGTATGCTCTTCATTGATAAGTACACGGGTTCCACAGTTGCGTAAGGAGTTGAGTAAATAGTGCTCAGATGATTTCCAAAAAAGGGAATATAACAGTTATGTCCATATTTAGCTGCATACCTGATGCAGTGCAAAACTCTTGAACACGTGCGAGAAACGAAGGGCTTGTTTTAAATCATTGACCAACCCTGTAATGTCGTCTGTGAAGCTGAGAGTGTAATGATATGTGTCACGAATCTTTATGGAGAAAGATTGGCTGACCACTCGGAGATGGCACAATAAAGGTTCGATAAATAAAACAAAGAGCCCTGGTGAAAGTGGGTATCCCTGTCGAACTCCTGCTTTCAAGATGAAGTACTGTGAACGTGAGTTGTTAATTGAAACTTGTACTAAGGTCCCAGTAAAAATGTGGAACCCAAATGAAGGAAACCTCCACCAAATCCCCAGTGTTGAAGGACGATATCCAATACCTGTCAGTTGACACTGTCTAAAGCCTCCGCAAAGTCGAGGCAAATGGCACCGGCGGGAGCCCGTGTTTCATAGGTGATGATATAGTGTAGAAGATCCAAGAAATACCTTAATGCATGGCGGATATCACGACCGGGTACAAATTTAAATTGGTCATCGCCTAGAAGCTG